GGGATTAACAACGACCCGCACCACGGGCAGCCGGCAGCCGCCTGGGGCTCTCCCTACACCCCTGCCAAGGAGGACTGGCATTCCTACGGGACCGCCGCTGCGCCTTCCACCGCCAGCCCGGGGCAGTTTGGATTCAGCCCCCCAGATTTTAACCCCATCCAGCCCCCGGGCTCTGGACTCCTGCCTCCGCCCATCAGCAGCTCGGTCCCCCAGCTCTCCCCTAACGCCCAGAGACGCACCCCCTACGAGTGGATGAGGCGCAGCATTCCCAGCACCAGCAGCAGCGGTAAGGAAACCCCCCAGCCCGGCATCCCCACGTCTTCCTTGGTGCAGAGGATCCCGGGGCTTAAGTCCTGCGGGGCCGGATCCTGCTCCGCGGCTCTCCCTGCATGGGGACTGCTGGCAGGGACAGCATGCTTGGCCTGCCTTCAGCACGGCACCTGGTCCCCAAAGAGCAAGGGGACGCCACTGACGAGGTGGCAGGGGCCAAGGATGGGCAGGGAGGGCACCGTCCTTCCGCGTTGCTGGCAGCTCAGGTTATATGATTGGAAAGCCTTTTTCCCGGCCGGTGTCTGCCCCTGCACCCCCGCCCTCGCCTGCCGCTACCGAGTAGGATGGGCAGACACCCCCGGGATCCCAGGGCCCTGCCAGCCCCGAGGGGGTGTTGGACGGGGCGTCTCGTGTGTGCAAGGGCGAGCACTCGGGGCTGTGGCTGTGAGCCGCCGTGCAGCTGCGTGCGAGAGCCTGTGCATGGGGGATGTGCGTTTGTGTGTGCAAGGTGCCTTATGCCGTGTGCATGGGGGGGGTGTACGTGTACAGGGAAGGTACCATGTGTGTATATGAGGAGGGAAGGTGCTGCATGCGCTGTGTGTATGTATGTAAGGTGTATTCAGCGCATGAGAGGTGCTATAGGCTCGGCGTGTGCGTGCAAGGTGCCATAAGCAGTATGTGGCATGGCTTGCTCTACAGACAGTGTGAGTGAGTTGCGTACAGGGGATGCTACATGCTCAACGTGTGCGTGCAAGGTGCTGTGCGTTGAGGACAGCGCCGTGTGCGGTGCGTGTGCAAAGCGCGGTGCGTTTGGGGACAGTGCCACGCGGAGGGTGCGTGTGGGTGCTCCAGGTGCAGCATGCCGTGTGTGCATGTGCACAGCGTGTGGGTGCCGTACACTGCGTGAGTGGGTCCCCCCGCTCCTGTGCCCACCGCTGACCTGGA